AAGTGATCATCATAATCCTAAAAATAATCATGGTTGAAAGATATCAATATTTTCAAAAAGGACATCTATTAACAGAAATGCATCAACAGTTTCACTTTAAAAAATGCATAATTAAGTATAATCCAAATAATTGAAATGCATATAACATTTTAACGTCAGTGCATTATTCAAAAGATTTCACAAAATACGCTACTGGCGTCCCAAGTAGGTCACTTATATACCCCATCAGCATCCTGATAGGTCCACTTAATCCCTATCGGCGTCCCAGATAGGTCCACTTAATCCTTGCAGGTCCACTTATACCTCACCGTCCTACCGAATGAGTCTACTTAATCCCTACCGACATACCAGATAGGTCCACTTATACCTCATCGACGAACCGGATAAGTCCACTTGCATACTTAAAGTATTTCTAAATCTCTTTAAACATTCGAAAGCAGCAATATCATGTTCTCAACATATCACTGAAATTCTTAATATGAATTTCACTTAAACCATTAATAACAATCACTTTCAATAACATTTCAAAAATAACCAGTCAATGATTTGGGCTCAAATTTAGAAAGGTAGCAGTTCGTAAAGACATTTTAGCATAATTGTCAATCTAATATGTATAGAAAAATTCTTATAGAAATTCAAGAATACGGAATTATCACAATTTATGGGATGTTAATTCGCAAATAAGCATTTCACAGACAATGCTATAATCAATTGCAAAATATCAGTTTTCAAATAATAAGGCAGTCATTTGTATATGAAATTTATAAAGTCTAAATATTCAAAAACAGTAGAAAGAAATCTCATAATTTTACTGAAAGCAGGAATATCACATTTATTTTTAATAATTTTACAATATTTAAAATTTTCTAACAATAAACAAGAAAAATAAATAAATTTATTTTTTTAAGAATTTACAGCATTTAAGATTTTTAACATAGATAAAATATCACAATTTTATTAAAAAGGATTATTTTTCAAAATAATGAGGTCGCTTGCGCATAAAATTTATCGTGCCTAAAATTCATGATAATAAGCAGAAGTAATTATTTCATTTCATTTTTAAAAAGAACGGATTATTTTTTAAGATAATGAAGTTATTTACCTAAGATATTTGAGAAGGAACTTCCGATAAAAATTCGGCTAGAGGGAGAAGTTCACTGTATTTGTAAGAGCGAGAGCGATAAAGAAGTTGTTAGGCGACGTCTTACCTTTCGTCCTAATTAATTTCTTTAAAACGTCTCCATCATGTGTTTGAGGTGTCGCGCCCAAAAACCACGTCCACTAAAGGATGTTGGCAAGGCAGCAAAAGTTTATTAAAGTAGTGATGGTCCCTAAGGACCATCATGCTCATATGAACCATCATTTATTAAAATTTTTTTTTTTTTAATTTTAAGATTATTACAATTATGGATTACAACATGGTATATTAAGGCTCATTAAGCAAGTGTTGTTCCTAAGGCTCAGAATTACAGGTTTATAGGAAGTCTTTCAACCAAAGTCTTACAACAAAAATCTTTGGAAGGGGGTGTCTACATGCTCATAAAGGTTAAATCCAAAAGTTTCATAGTATATTACTATATTTAACCCTCATGGTCAAGAGGGAGACGGTACGTGTGTGGCCAAGAGGCCTTACGTGTGCCACAAATTTTTTATATGCATTAATGTTTATTATTTATTAAGACATTTTTAAAAATAGGAAATATCTTTACAAAAAGTTAGCGAATGACTCCCTAATCGCCCAAATTTTGAGGGCCATCTTCTTCCATATCATAGGAAAAAACTGCTAGAATAACTACAACCCTCTATAAAAGGGTTAACTAGTGCCTAGAAGACTACATAAAAACTTGTTTAAATTTTTTGAAAAAATATTGGATCTCTGCGATATACAGTCCAACAACTTCATCATCAAAGTATGGGATTTTTTGCAAGTTCTCAATCGATCTTCTTTCTTTTCAAGATTTACCAAATAAAAAATATATTATCCACACTACCAATATTGAGTTCGTTTTATTTCAATACTTAATAAAATTAAAATTTGACAGTTAAACTTCAAAAACGAAGTTGGTATTTTAATATACTTCTCTTGCCCTAACTAAAGGTCGAAAACAGATGTGTCCCACTCATTTTCATTGGTCTCTCTGCCTCTCTCACTCTCTCTCTCCTGACATTGCTATTTTCTCTCTCTCTAACATGCAAATTGCCCACGTAATTTGCACATTCTCTCTCAACGATTCGCTTGGAGGCACACAAGGAGTACTTTGAACTGACCCCACCTTCAAATTATTTTTAGAGAAAAGACCCCTTAGTCAATAAAAAAGATCACTAATTAACTATTTTATAAGTAGTTCTGTACTTCTTCCCCTGTACTTAGATTTTTTCTAATGAGAATTTACTGTTAACGCTCGAAAAAATAAAAAATAAAAAAATTAAGTATTTTGTAATAATTGAGCAAAACAACAAATGGCCTAGTGGGAGGAGCATTTATCTCCTATTCTTAACTACATGACTTGCAAGTTGCATGCAGGAAACTTAAAATAAATGCAAAGGGCAGGAAGAAATTGAGAAGAACAAAACAAAACACAAATGACAAAGGAAGATAAGAAGAGGCAATAATATTAACAAAAGAATAGGTGAAGAGGAAACATTCACTTGGGGCATGTGAGAGAGACTCTTTTCAATGCAAGTGAGAGAGAGAGAAAGTAGGGGTGACAATGACCTGGGTGGCTCGCCCGGCCCTAAAAAACTAAGGACCGGGTGATAAAATATAGCATGAGTGCAAGACCTTGGCCAAGCCAAGACAAGTTTGGCCTGATTTGGCTTGGCCTTTATATTTTCATCATTTTTTTTTTAATCTTACCGGTTGTGAACCAGCCTGGCCCTGCTCGATACAGTTGGGCCGGACCTGAACCAGCCCTCCAAGGAGTATAACCACACTAGGCCCGGTAGAGGCCCGGCCCATTGCCAGCACTTAGTGTGTGAGAGAGAAAACTTGACACCTTAAATTCCCCGTCTGGCGAACAATCTTAACTACCATAAAAATATGCAACTAAAAATGTCATTGTCTTTGTCGACGATAAAATAGACATTATTTTAGTGTTTCTTTTATTTTCCTTAACTTTTCGGGCCCGCAAACAACCACTATTTTACCTTTCAAAAGGGCGACAAGAAAAAGGTGAGGTTCAAGCACTTTGCACGAAAAATATCTAAAAAAGCTGGCCCGCCCTGATGTGATGAGAGAGAGCTATTTTGGACATACCATAGATACCTAGCACAAGGGATAGGGGTGGTATGTGTTTTGGCCAGTCTAGGAAAAATTGAATCGAATCGGTAAGCTGGATGTGGGCTCGAAAAGGATGGTAAACTGGCCAGTTCGAACGTTTTAATAGAGCAAGTAATTGGACAGTAAAAAAAAATGTTAAAAAATATAAATTTTTTTAATAAAATATGAAAAACATATTGGAAGAATGATTAAATAAAATACATCTAAATTAAGTTGAAAATATATTTTAAGAATCAATTTGTATCTAAAAGTATTTTTAAAATTTTTCACCAAAAAAAAAAAATGTAAAAAAGAGTAGTAATGGCCAAAACAATTTCCAACATTTGCCATAATGATGAAAAACATTAACAAAATGTGTTGCAAAGAAAAAAACTAATTTGTTGGGAGTTTATATAAGTTGTTTTTAAAATACCAGCCGGTCACCAAAACTGGCCGAATTCAGAACCTGCCAATAGCCGGTTCTAATTTAATCAGAGGCCGAATTCAAAACCTGCCAATAGCCGGTTCTAATTTAATCAGGTGGTTACCTGTTAGGACGCCCGATTTTTCTTTTAATGGCTTGGGCTGGCCCTAATACGATCAGGGCATGGACTAAGGGTTGGGTCAAGTTTGAGGGCCTGGCTAGGCTGAGGTCATGAGGGCCTGGCGGGGCAGGTCCTGGGCCAAAGTTAGCCCAGTTTGGCTTGGGTTGGCCCCTTATTTTTCTTTTAATTTTTAATCTTATTGGCTGGCCCGGCCCTACGACTAGAGTCAGGCTTGGCTCAAGGCCCTTTTGACGAATTTAGTGCCGGGCTGTGCCTTGGCCAGACCTTTGGATACTAGGACTATGCTAGGGCCGGGCCACCGGACCTACTGTTTCCTGATCGGACTCCAAAAGGTCGGGTTCAAATGAAAGAAAAAATGTTCGGTTCGGTTTTTATCTCTCTATTGGATTCTTGATGGTGAGGGTTAGAGAGAGAATTTCAGAAAGAGACGAAAGTTAGAGAGAGAAAGAGGGCCAGTCCTAGGAGGGACACCGCGGCGAAACGTGGCAGCAGCGACCGCCCCATCGAGACCGCTGCCGTCAGACCACGTGGCGTCGCTCCCCAACTTGAAGGGCTGCACTCCCTATTCCCCTACACGTGGCGGAATCTAGGCCCTTCACCTATCGACCTCACGTAGCCCACTTGGCGGGCCCCACCATCCAATCCCTAAGAAGATCGCTCCTCTCGACACAATCATCTCCTCGTCGACACGTCAACCCAGCGGGCCCCGCACCACTCAACTTGCCTCATATGAGCTGTCATCCCCCTCCAGATTCCTCCACGTGTCGAGAACCAAATCATGTATGAGCACGTGTCGGTACGGAGCTGGTCAAGAGCAGGCCCTGTCCCATGGGCCCCGCCGTGCACGTGTCCCTTTCTGGTGTCAGCAATAACCACGTTTCGTACGTCTATTGGGCCCTAATGACGCACACGTGCCGGTTTCCTGGATCGATTCTATTTCCAGGAGCAACCGGTTTATTGCCACGTGCCGGTAGGAAGCAAAAGGATTACTGTTGCGCCACGTGTCCCGGAAACGTTGGTTAAATTTGGCGGGGCGATAAAATGACGCCGCCGCTAAATGTGGCGGCTCACCAACGTGTCCACAGGGGAGGGCATCGAGGGTGGTCAGGTGGACACGTGGCAGGATTTGCGGCTTTGGAGCACGTGGCGACCGTTAAAAAGGCCGCGAAACAGATGAACAGGAATTAGAACCTGGGAAAATTTTGGTCTCCTTCTTCGTCTCTATGGGCTCTGCTCCCCCGTCTTTCTGTTGGGCTCTGTTTCTCTCCCTCTCTAGAAATCTCTCCCTTGTGCTCCATTTACTTTCGATTCGCTGCGTCTCTTTCTGAATCTGCAGCGCTTTTGTCTCTTTGAATCGTTACTCTTGGAACCTAAACTGTTTTATATTCGGACTCTGATTCTTCCTCTCTCTCTCTGGTTTTTGCCGTGTTTCACTCTCTAAATTTGTTCTTTGTTTCTTACAGTTGTTTCTTCTCTTTTGTTTTTAGGTGTACTTCTTGTCTCCATTCTATCGTGAAAGTTTGCTGTGATTGTAATATTTTTTTATTTATTTTTTAATAGTTTGTTCATATGGTCTGGTTTTCCGGCAAAGGAACCTATTTTCTGGTTCTTTAGCCGGTGCAGAAATCGATGCTAATGAAACCCCTAGTTTTCGTCTCGATTGTTTTAAGTATTCGACTATAGAGACGGAAAAGATCTACGGATTCTTGTTCTCGCTTCTGTGTTTTCGGAGTTTCCAGGCCGGAGATTCTGTATCCTGTATCCCAACCAAGAATCAGAAACTAGTTGAGTTCCCGGTCATTTTGAGATTTGACGGTTCAAAGCTTTCTTTGTAGAACAAATACTCCAGTCCAGAGCAAAAGAAAAGACGAGATCCTTAATAGGTGATTGTGCTTTCTCTCTCTAGAGGGAACAGGAAACAGAGATACGTGATTCTCTTTCTCAACGAAAAGGAAAACGGAGATGTTCGATACTTAATGGTTTTTCTCTCAAGAGCAAATAGTAAACAGAGGTAATCTCTGTCTTTCTCTTCAAATGAGCAACCCCATTGATTTCTTGTTCTCAAAGGGGCAAAGTTTGAGGCTTTAGTGAATGGCTCAGGCCACTGATACCGAGAACTTAGGGCTTCGGTTCCAGATCTCAGTCGAAGAACAGTGCCATAGCTCAGGGACCATTGCTTTTCCAAGAGACCTTTTGCAGAGGCTTATGGCCTCAGATAACAGCTCAAATAAACTTTCTGGTGAAAATTCTGGCCCAAACTCACTGGAAAATGATCAAAAAATTGACTGGGGCCTCAATCTAGGGCTATCTTTAGGTGGGCGCTTTGGCCTAGATAGATCATCGTCTGTTATAGATCCGTCCACTAAAGGGCATGGAATCCTTCGATCCTCTTCACTTCCAGCCACTTACTTGCCAGAATCTTTGACTATGTTACCGGAAAATGATTTTCCGTCGACTGAGAGGCAGATTCAGGCGGCAAGAAGGCTCGAGGTCAAGAAGAAGAGGGAGGAGAAGCAGCAACAACAGATGATGAAGAGGAGGAAGAGTTTTGATGGTGATTATTTTGGCTTTCAGGTTTTCGGTTCCAGAGATGAAGATCGAGCAAGTTTGACTGATGATCGAGTAGGGTTTCAGCCTTTGAGTTGCAAAAACAAAGATCGAGCAACTCTGGATGAGGATAGATTAGCGTTTCTGGCCCGTGACAAAGATCGAGCAGCTTCGGATAAGAATCAATTAGGGTTTGCTCCGCCAATGAATTTCAGGGATAAAGTTCAAGCATCTTTACAGGAAGAAAAATTAACGTTTTCTCCATGGGGTTGTGGAGATAAAGATCGAGCGAGTTTAGAGGCTGATTGTGCTGGAACTGAGGTGTCAACAGCTGGGGAGGCAAGAGAGAAAGAGATTTGCAGGGATGCTAAGCCAGAAACGCTAGCCCTAGGTCTTAGTGGCCACATGCAGAGCACTAGTGGAAATGAGTTGCCCCCTTTTCTCTACGGTTGGCCTGGCCTTGCTCGAACTTCGAGCCTTAATAACAGTGGAAGTAACAGTACTCTGTATCAGCCAATAGCTTCGAGGCCATTTGCTCCTTCTCCTCATGCGTCTCTGGTTTCTCAGGGTAGTAGCTCCTCTGGATTCTCTGAATTTGATAGCAGATCAGCTCCAGGTACATTAAATTTTGTGGGTATCTTTGAAATTATGAACCTTCGTTGTATTTCTTTGATTTTAGGTGATGGGTTTTGTTCTAGTGTTTGTTCACTTAGATTTTAGGTACAGTTTTGTTGTATTTTGTTGAATGGTTAGATTATTGAGTTATGGTTTTTCTTGTATTTTTGTTTTCCTGGTTCTTGAATCATCTGATCTTGTTGGAAGTACTCATATTGCAGTGACCCCTTTATCACTGAGATATATTTGCAATTTCACATTTTTTTCTGGGACTTCTAAATCTCGGATGATGCTTAGAATAATATGCTAGAACATGAGTTCCCTAATTTACATATCTCTTTTGTTCAATGAGCCTAGGGTGAATAGTGGTTTGAATGCAGGATGTGGAATTTGGTTATGTTGGGTGGGAGATTGAAGGGTGAGATTTAATTGTGGTTTGGGGGGAATTCAGAATTTCTCCATTTGGAATTTGTCTGTATAGAATGGGGCATCTTGACTAGTCTTTGTCTTGTGCATTTGCAGTCAAAATCCAGAAATTGGACAAAACAAAGTAGCAGAGTTAAAGTTGATATTTGATGAAAAGCTTGGTGTGGACTTAAAACTGAAATGAAAGAGTAGGAAAGGGTATAAGCTTAAATATTATGAAAAGCTGGTATTAGAACGGTTCTATCTATTTGAGAATGTGGATTTGGGGCATGTAGTTAAGAGTGGTGGCAAACATGGGATATTTTGGGAAATCTTCGAGGTGTCCTACCCTGCAAGTCCTAGAGATTCTAAATCATTAACTTTGACATGGGGTGTCCTTACCTCTCTAGAAAGATCTAATTGGAACCCAAATTGAGATTGAGCCTTACTTGCCTTGTTTGGCACTGTCCTGAGGGAAGTGAGACTCAGGCAGTTCCAATGTCTTCAATTTCCTGGTAGTGATGAACCTTGAGTTCTACCTGAGGATGTCTTGATCAAATTTTAAAACTAGGCTTGGGCTCAAGATTGACAAGGTTCTGAGTTTGAGTCGTTTTGGTAATGGGAAGGATCTCATATCGATTCATGGGTCGAACTCATCACAGATTTTGAATGTTGTTGGGAATGGCTAGTCTTTTGCAGAGGATGGGTTGGAAGGAAATTCGATGGGGTGGAAGGAGATTCAATAGATGGCAAGTCGGCTTGATTGATTCCTTCCTTAATCATGAAGCTACTAACAAGTGGTATTAACTATTAAGACACTGAAGGAGCACGAGAATCTTATACGACTCCCTCCCTCTTAATAGAGTGGACCGTTACCCCCTTTGTCTCTCCTCTTAATAGAGTGGACCTCAGTTTTGCCGATGCCTATTTAGAGTCGCCCAAGTTTTAGAGCACTGGTTTTGATAGAGCTTGGCTGTTTTGACAAATGTTGCTAGCACATGCCCCACACTTAAGTGGCATCAGCAATCAAGAGATGGCTTGTATTCACCAAATAACATTAGAACTTAGCCATATATACCTTTCCAAAAGTATGCTTTCAAATATAGCTTGCATGATATAAGCTTATAGACGTGTCCATAGCATGATGGCATGGATTTCTACCGAAACACCACCTGCTTGGTTTGTATAGATTGATTGACAATTTGCTAATGATAATTGCTTCACAAACTCAAACCCTAGTTGGGGGGTTTCTGATGCATATTCTTCTTTCTCTTAACTTGCTGAGATACGTGACTCTAGAGTATATGCATGGGTCAGGGAAGGCATGCATGACCTATTTATTGTGGCTATACATTGCTCCCAAGTATTTAATTGGTTATCCAACTGGTCCCACGAGCAATCAATCAAGTCCATGTATTCTTTCTATAATTTTACCATATGGTTACACACTGGAGGATCTGGTTATTGTCTAATTCATCCTTCTGGCCAATGGATATGCTCCAAGTTTTGAGTTAGACCTTGGCTCAGTCCATGCAAAAGGGTGTCCTATTATTATGACGAGAATCAAAATGTATCAGTACCGGGTGCGATAATGGGCCCCCCTTCATGATGTCAGAATATGACCCCTGTAAAAGGAACTGTATGGTCCCTATTCGTAATGTACGGGTTGCTTAAAACCTTAGTGTTTAGTGTCTTACATTTAATTGTGTTATGTACTTACGTACCACTGGTCATGACACTGGGCTTCAAAGTTTAGTATCATAACAATACTTGGCATTTAGGATTTCTTGTTGAGATTCACGTTATGATGCACTGGTGTGTATTATACTGTACTAGTGTTATGTTTCAAGTATGAAACATAGATACGTTTCTCTACAAGTTGCTGCATGTAACCATGAATCCTCTTCTGCCCCTAGGTTAGCCAAGAGAGCACTGACAAAATAACATCTGTTTTGATGATGTTAGATATATTTAATATTCCTATTCTAATACTACAATGGATTGGACATTTTCTTCTGCCCTTGAAAATGCAGATCAGTCTTGAAACCTAGGCTCCGAGGTCTGAGTTAGTTAATCGGGCAAAATCAATTTGCTCACGGGCACCCCAGGCTGTCCAATGAAAAAAAGAAAACCAGAAAAAATTTAGGAAATTGCTAAATATCCAGAAAATATACAAAATAAAAAAAGTGTATACACCATGGAATATGAAAAGGATTGATGTTATTGGGTTAGATATTAGATAAATAGGCAAATCCAAGGGAAAATAGAAAAAAATTACTCATAAAAAATATGAAAATTTTAAAATAGTATATACCAGTGTTTGAAAAATCGGTGACACGATCCGGAATCGTTCGATCCAGATTGGATATCGTTCAGCCCTTCCCGAATCCCAGATTATACCGTTATTGCCGGTTCTATCACCATAGGCTGCTACATGTCATTACGGTTTTGAAAATAGGTCGCAAAACCCACGTGTCATTATGGTTTTGAAAATAGTCGAAAAGTCCACCTCCACCTACATCGGAAACAGTGCCGCTCCTCTACATCATAGCACTGACAAGCACAACCCCGCCGCTTTTCATCACGCACGCAATAAATGGTGCACTTTTGAAAATTCGATGTGGGATTTGTCTCTTTTGTTCTCTCGCATCTTGACATTAAAGCTACATGATTAATCTCCATAACTGCCTTAGCATATTAAATTAAGCGTCATTTGATAACGTGCCATTGAAGCATGCTATTTAATTTATGAACCGTAGTGTGTCCTACTAAATGAGCGTGTCAATTTAAATTAACCTTAGCGTGTCACATTCCCAAATTAGCTTGTCATATTAAATTAGCCTCATCAACATATTTTTTTTTAATTAAATGAATTGATTAGAATGCCAAATTTAAAAATTGCCATATAGAAGTTTTTGCTATATATTAGTAAAAATAGTTTTTTCGATAGGTTTTATTACCATATTATTTTATTTTATTTTGTAGCTACTGTACATGTTGCATATAGGCTTTTTTTTTTTTTTGAATTTTTATATTTTTATTTTTCATTTTTTAGGTTATTTTTTTAAATTTTTTTAATATCATAACATAAAAATTTATTGGCTGTTTTATTTTTATTTTTAATCATATAATATGGAAGCATTTTCTAATAAGTTTTTATTCATGTTTATGGTAATATTATAATTAATAATCATACATTGATAATCGAATCTTGTATTTTATTCATTAATTTACTTACATTATAAATTATGTAATGTATTCTTTTTTCTTATAGTTGTAAATAAGATTTTTTAAATTAGATGATATTATAAGACATTTTATATTTATTCTTATTTTTATAGTAAATAATTATAAAATATAAATAAAAAATTTCAATTTCATCATATGATATTATAGTTAGGTTGCGATAATTTTGGATGTGTAAAGCGAATCAATAAATGCTTAATACTTTGATGCGACTCTAATTTCACTTTATATGGGAAATTATTATTTTTAATCTTATAATATTGACGTTTTTCTAATGTTTTTAAATTATTTTGATGCAATATTATAATATTATATTATAATTAATAATTATACAAATATTCAGACAAAAAAATGTCTCAGTATTCACCTATTTTTACAAAGTAATGATAGTACATAATGCACCACTCTTAATTTCTTTTGGAAAGTAAGAAACACTATTTTTAGATATTTATAGTGATTTTTTGAAAAACTTTTGGGAAAAAAATTGCCTATTCTTCCGATTCTCCGATCCGATCCACCGATTCCCCAATCCTACACGGGTATGGGTGTGACCGATTCGAGTCACCAATCTGTTTTTTTAAACCTTGGTATCTACAAAAGCATAATTATAAATCATTTGTAATTGATCTAGTAAACAATAAGCCGATTTTATGAATTTTGAACTGAAAAGATAACACTTAACAAACATATAGATACCATGCAAATCAATGCCAAGCTTCCAGTTACAATCCCAATGGGAACCATCATACCAGATTTGGGTTTTGAATTCAGTTCTAGGTGATCCGAGGTCTTGATAATTTTAGGTAAGTTCGATTTTTTTTCTTCTTTCTTCAGAAACATGCTTATGATTGGTAGAAGAACTTAAAAGTAGGTTCACAGAACAAAATCTATTGAAGATTGGCCGACTGCTGTGAAGAAATCACAACCTTTCAAAATCAGGCATAACCTATGTGGAAATCTTCGATTTTCATGTACATCAGATTTGATTGTTTTTGCTCAAATCTGCACTATGTGGTAGATAAATCATGAAAGAGCGGTAGTATTGCTGAGCTTCATGGTGAGGTCTCTGACTCCATTCTCACCAAAAAATAGGGGCCCAAATCCCTACGGACTTATCACTTCTTTTTTGTTTTTTTTTTTTGACTTACCCAAAAAAAATATCGTGAAAGATCAAATTCATGGGCCAATTTTGGGCTCAAATCAGCCTCTCTTTCAGAGAAACTGAATTATCATGAAAACTCGCCTGACTACTGTAGTACTTTGGCAAGTTTCTATAGTACTTGCTGAATTCTGTAGCCGTCCCGCGTACCCCCTTAGTTGGGGGGTTACAAGCTTGGCAGCCTGCCGAGCCTGAGCAACTCAAAACACTGGTTAAGAGTCTGCCATTTGGCACACATTCTATGAAAAGATGACACATTAGGCTTCATCCTTGCAAGTGTTCGCCATTTGGCACACATTCCATGAAAAGATGACACATTAGGTTTCATCCTTGTAGGCGTTCGCCATTTGGTGCACATTCCATGAAAAGAGGACACCTTAGGTTTCATGCTTGAAAAGTTTGCTTTGAAACAAAACCTTAAGAAGAATAAGGAGAAAAGTCAATATTTGTTCCAGGGACTCGGAAAGATTCATCATGTTCCTTCCAAGATCGCGTTTTCACTGCAGTTAGGCTTCTCATCTTCTCCCCTTCCCTTGCACACTAGAGATTTATGACTCAAATTAGGCCATCTTTAAGCAAACAGCTAAAGTTTTGGCGTCCCAATTATTTATAACAATCCCTACACAAGAATAATTGCCCAAGAATTCTCCATTCTGTGTTGAGATCTATCTAACACATAGCCTCGTGTACTTGGTAATTACACCACCCCAAGTTACTAGAAAAACAAGACGGTGGATAAGAAGCTAGAAGCTAGTGTCCGACACATATATGAGGCTCGTATCATTCACCATGTTTATAGGAGGCTGAACTCTCCTCGACACCATAAACTATGTGGTATGTATTCATCTTTCATCTTGCCCCCAATCCCATTTAAGTTTTTGCTCTCATTGATACCTCGTCCTATTTTACATACCACGGCAAACCTACACATGCATCTGTCAACCATTTTTTCCACCCAGATGTCGCAACGAGAGCAACATATCTCAGAAGTTGTTCTTTCTCTTGAATATTTAGCATACAACTTTTGTTTATGGTATATTTTTGGCTGAGTTTTCCTCCCGCCCCCCCCCCGCCAAAAAAAAATTGTAAATCATTGCATGGTATATTTTTGGTTGAGTTTTCCTTCCCCAAAAGGTATTATATCCTCTGTGTTCCATGGGAATATAATCTTGGAAGAATTACGTAGATGCCATTCTTTTCATTTTAAACAATATGCTGACATCTCTGTGTTATTATTTGCCAAATGTGAAAGGGTTGTTTTGTGTCACTTTGGCCCTCAGTTTGGGCTCACGATCCCTGCACGAACTGAAAAAGGTGATCAACCATGATTCAAAATTCAATAATGAAATATTACCATGAATAAAAATTTGCTAATAGCTTTATCGAGCAGGTTAAGCTGCTTCTGGCATCTCCTTTCACCCAAACAGATGAGTTGTTCCTCCAACCCACCGGAGAATATTAGATTACTAGCATGGGGCTCATATTAAAAGCTGCAAAAGTATTGGGTTATATGAGTTGTTAAAGCAGCTGAAAAAAGCCATTGGAACACCAACAATATCCAAGATTTTCATTATGAAATTAAAAGAATAGCGAACATGCGTCTATTTGGTGCGACCTGTTGAGGAATATTTTTATTTTCCGACTACTGGATTCGGTTAGTGATGGCATAGGTAGTCAGAAATGTCATTCACCAATTGATTCCAAGTGATTTATTTTTAGTGGAAAGATGAAATTGGGAGTGTTTTCCTGATGCTGTGAATTGCCTAGGGTTCTTGTTGGTCCCGTTCGTTTGTAAATGCCTTGAACTTTCCATGCACGTGGTTGAATGGAACACTCTTTTGTCTACTTCTATTATATCGCCACGAGTATCTGTCAAAATTTGCAGAACTCAAATTTCTGGTTCTTATATAGCTATTATGGGTTTCCCAATAAAAACCATGGAATGAAGTAACAGGGTGGTCTTTGATGCAGGGGGAAGCAGTAGCATCGAGGCTAAAAGCCCCATGAGTGCGGAAGCTGGAGCGGAAGCTCGGGTTCTCCCTAGGGGTTTATCGGTGAGTGCGGATAAAGGAGGTGAAGCTCGGGTTCTTGCTAGGGGTCTATCGGGGAGTGCGGATAAAGGAGGGGAAGCTCGGGTTCTTGCAAAGGGCCTATCGGCGAGAATGCCTTGTGTTACAACGAAGGGTGAGGGACCGAATGGTAAGAGAGTGGAGGGTGTTCTCTATAATTACAGTAAGGGTGAAGAGGTGAGCATTGTCTGTGTTTGCCATGGCACTTTTCTCACTCCCGCCGAGTTTGTGCGCCATGCTGGCGGTGGGGATGTCGACCACCCTCTCCGACATATTGTCGTCATTAATCCCTCTCCTTCCTAGAGATGGAGAGCCATTGCAGGTAGCCAATCTTAGAGAGAGAAACTACGTGATACCTCTCCTATAGAGAGAATACATGATTAGGAGAGTAAATTAAGCCTCGCAAGTGGGGGGAGAGAATAAATAAGACCTCTCCCCAAAGAGAAAGAGAGGAGAGAGAGTACATGATGCCTCTCCTAAAAGTAGTAGTTGGGAGGGATTTTCACATGTACCTGCTTGTGGTTTTTCTCGCTTCCTTTTTCTTTATGTTTGTTTCTTTTGGTGGACGTGGCTTTGGAATGAATTGTACAGCTCAAATTAAGAGGAAATGGTAATGTTGTTACTGTCTGTAATGGTGTAGATTTGGCAACTAAATTAATGGGGAGAAGTGGACGCTTTCTAATATGGACGTGGTTAGCATGCGTTGGCCATAAATATATATTTTTTAAATATAATTTTATCTTAATTGTTTAAAAATATGTAATCTTTAATATGGAGGTTAGGAATATAAACAAATAAATAAGTTTTAAAAATTAAAATAATAATTATATTAAGAGAACATTTGGAATGTTAGTTACTATGGTTTTTAGATGGATCACCTATTTGTATCCGTTTTAAATCTGGAAGAGTGATGTTTTGTACATCGGGTACAAATGCGGTTGAGCCTGCATGAAACAATTGTTTTAATATTTGGGTTATTTTTGTCAGCGGTCACTATTCTTACCCAAAAAAATTGAACGAATTAAATGTTTCTTTGGTGGCTGGAAAATTGGAACAACAATGAGGCGGCTGGAGATGGGCCATTTTACTTTCACTATTTCACTCACCTGGATTGTAATGTAGAAAAGCAAGCATATTATTGTGAAGTATACAGTAACACATATTACAGAAGAAAAAGTATACAATAAGTTTTTGTTTTGTTCGAGTCACGATTATTGATATATGATAAGAAGGAAAGTATGTACTAGGATTTTTGTACGGGGAAGTTACATTATTGATGTAAAGAAATGTGTAATTTATTGGGCACAAGTTCTCGTCACATTTGATGACAAGGGATTTGGATTCTTATATTTGAGGACTAAAGATGATCATGTTCTTGTACTAGGGTTGAGCTGTCTATAGCATATATAATTGTAGGGTGTATTTTCTGGATGCATAATTTAATGATCAAGTACTTTGGAAGATATGAAATCAATGGTCGGGATTAAGTCCCAAATGGAAATTGAATCAAGAATGGACGGTTGTTAAGCATATGCAAGGTCGACGGACGATGGGACCGTATGAGAGATCAATAGACATGTTCTTTAAGATGTATCAAGTAAATGTACCCCAAATACTATACATGGGTGTAATAAAATTAGGGCTTGCCGTCAAGGGCATTAATATGTATTGAAAACGTCAGCCACCATATAATTAAACGGCTAGGCTCACCTAAAGACTAGCAAAAATATTTCATTCAAATTATAGGACTTATATTCTCATGGTCATTATATGTTTCTCTACACAATACTTAGGAAGTTTGGATATAGACTGATATATTTTGATGGCTAGGTTGTGTTAAAACTCATCAAATTATATCATAATGAGGTTGAAATTTTGCAGACATTTCTTTTAAGGCCTTGTGTACCTCTAGTCTTCAAAGTCATCGAAATTGGACATCCTTCGATATATCTCTTGATCTATTGGTTGTCAAGATATCACTCGATTGAGAGTCCCTCGTCTTACGTGGTGATTGACATGAAATCTTTGGAATAGTGATATTTAACGTATGGTGACTTTCTTCCTAAGGTTTTAGTTTATTTAGAGATGATTTGACCCCTCATTGGCAGCCAACGCTTATAGCCCTCGGCTGTTAGGCATACATACTGTCAGGCATATATACAGTAGCCAGGATGACCTCCGATCATTAGACTAGAGAGTTCTTTTAATATGTGAAGGAGTTTTCTCATGACACCTAGACCATTAAATTCCTGACTTAGTACATTACTCACTATAGGAAGATGGTATCACAGAGATTTCCCATGTGAAAGCGGTGAAGTTGAAATATTAGTCATCAAATTGTTTCATATCTTAACCATGGGACCCTCATAACTCCCGGAATGTGAGGAGTTTTCACACTAAATTTTGTGGAGATATTTCTCATGACCACATCTACAACATATTCAACTCCTATGGTCAATCCTTTTATGTGGCAAGAGCGGTTCAACCTGCAATGGTCTAATATGCTGCCCAGATTTGCAGCAGAGAAGGATGAACTTTGGTGAGGTACATCTCCCTCATTATTTGACCCATTTGGGGTGCGACTTGGACCGTTGTATTCATCTTTGAGTCCTCTATCTCCATGTCAAATTTCAGGTCATCAAAAGATTCTCCATCAAAAAGTGGCATTCATTAAAGCAAGACATGTAAAGATAGTTAAACTGGCTTGATCGACAGAGGCATGAAAATAATTGAATTTTTTGTTTCCTCTGGGGAGTATCAGGTCAAATTGAGTTTCTTTCATGTTTACATTCAAGGTTGATTCAAATGGAGACCAAGACTTATCCAATTGAGCTCTTTTAAGAAACGTTTGAATTCAAAATGGATTGAGCCTCATTTCGCATAACCAATACGTGAGAGAGTGGCTTTAACCACTCAATCTTTGGATAAGCTATTGGAAAGTTAAGTTTATAATCGGCAAATATCTATAAAACCTCACTAACATAGTATAAGGGGGATTGATCCCTGTGATCAATATAGAGAGAGTGTGGAGAGAAATAGAGATAGAGAGGGGGGGAGAGAGAGAGTACACCTATATACTATTACTGTCTCTGTGAAGTGTGGGTATAAAAAGAGAGAATGAACACTCAGCATCCTAAACTCACTTAAAGCTCAGATTCAAGAAGGATGAGAGTAGGCAGCATCTATGTGCACAGTCTTGTATACAAGCAGCTACAGCCCCTGATGCTGATATTTTCTTACTTTTTCGTATATTTTTCTGTTTTTGTATTTGTATATGCCTTGAGGCACAAATAAATGTTTTTGTGTTTGTACGATGACTTTATGTAAACTATTGTAGGAATTGAAATCTCATAAACTCCTCATGAACCCTAGTTCCTAATATAGAATCTAAGATGAATTTGGTCCTGAGTATGTTAGCTATGTAGTCATTGCTTGTACATTGGAAGTCATAATTAATAGAAATAAAATCCAGCACTACTAGGTTAAGGACAGGCCATAAGGTGGTAATATTGACACTGCCTTTTTAAGGCTATCATACAAACACATGAAAGGACAAGATAGAAAAATGTATATTGTATGTATAATACATAGGAAAATCCCTACAGTGTAAATTTGTATGAGTTGTGCTCATTTACTATTGTATTTGCTAGTATCGACACAGTAATGAAAGCACCACCATTTAGTGTGGGGCACAAATTTTTTTTTTTTTAAGTTCTTTTCTCTCTCTAAAACTTTTTATTGGGAGCAACCTCGTCTTTCTTCCTCTACTTCAACCTCGTCTAAAATTCACAGTATTTTTGTTTTTCTCTTCCATCCTTCCTCACGTTGTATTTTCTTGTAATACCACCACAATATTGCCATTTTCTTGTAACGGCATCACCTTCACGTCATCAATTCATTACTTTATCAAGTCTTCCATTTCTCCAATGTCAACTTTAACGTATGGGATTAGATTATATACTAAGAGACCGCGTAGTTTTTGAAAAAGAAGGTCACAATCATTCTTATTCATTGAAATTGATATTTAATAGGCTGAAATGTGTCACAATATTAGATAATTTTGTTTGGACAATGTACATAGTTAATGTCACATTTTCAACTACAGGATTTTATATTTAACAATCAATAGTAGTTATGACCTCTTTGTACCAAAAAGTAAATAGTATACATTTTCTTACCATATTCTCTTACCATATTTTCACTTCTCACATCTTGTTCTCTTCACGTACTCTCACCACAAGCTCTCAGATATTCCCATCTCTCACTTTTTTACTCACATCCCACTAAAACCAACGGTTTCACTCCACATTTCTAAAAACTCATTCTCTTACCTTCTCTCATGGAATACCTCTTAGCTCCAATAGGCACTTTATCCTCATCAAACAATATCCCTATCTTTCGACTCTTACTGTAGGAAATTTTGTATCTATTAAATTGACAAAAAATAACTATTTGTTATAGGAAAACCAAATGTTGTCACGGATTGAGAATCAATAACTTTTTGGATTCATTGATGGTGATTACCTACACCAGGGTCAAAATATTTCATCTCTTGATGGTACGAGTGAAATAAAAAACCCAGACTACAAATCATGGCTAAAGTCAAACTTTTTAAAGCCTGGATTATCGAGACACTGTTAAAAGAGTGTCTGAGCCTTGTTGTTGGTCTTAAGAATTTTATAGAAGTTTGGAAATGCCTGAAGAATACCTATACAGGTAATTCTCAAGCTAGAGAGTTTCAACTCACCCAACAACTCCAACTCTGTAAGAAAAGGAATTTCATAATACATATCCAAATTCAGAGTATATGTGACGACTTGATGGCTATTAGCAAACCTATACGAAATGAAAATAAAGTATTTTGACTTCTTAATCGACTTGGTCCAAAATATGAGAGTTTTGCTACTACTATGCTTAAGCCTTTGATTCCTCCATATTATGAAATTATACCTCTTCTTCAAAGCCATAAGATTGGAAATCAGCCCTATGCCTATGAAAAACACTAAGATCCAAATCAAAATATGGCATTTGTTGGACAACAGAGAAGTTTTAAACCCATCAAAGGTAATCGAAATTACAGAAGTAGATGGAAAAACAACTTTGGTAGTCAATAGTTTTTCAACTCTCGAGAATGTGGGTTTGTTCAAATAGGCCAACTAATGAGGGACTTGGAGCACCCCAGACAAACTAAGGAGGTGATGGTACACCTCCTATGCAACACATGAATCAAGGCTTCCAATAAGATTCTTGGATACAATAGTGTCAGCTCATGTACTTCGAGAAGAGTGTCAAATTTGTAAAAAAAATTGGACGTATAACATTGAACTGCTAGCATCGATTCAATTATATATATGAAGAAGAAGAATTTCCTCAAGCTCTTACTACAATGACTATAGGTGATTCTCAAGATTTGGAATGGTTCCCAAACACTGGTACCTGAACTCATATGACAGGAGACCTAGGTAACAGAACCTTCGTCGTAGTATAGAGATAATCATGGTTAGAAATGTTGTGCTTCACATGTTGGTGATGTAAATATTGATTTTAGGTCTGAAAATTTTAATATTTCTAATTTTCTTTTGGTACCAAATATGAAAAAGAACTTATTATCTATTAGCCAATTTATAAGATA